GGGTAATGCATGTGGCAAATAGAAAATCACAAATTGTAATATTCCTCAGTTACCCATCGCCAACATCACTGAAAATGTCTCTGTGTAATGTAGATTTCTTCTTTTATTTGGTTATGATTTATTTGGAGAGGCAAATAATACATTCTCTATTTAGTATCAAGATGAAAGCTTAATTACATGTGTTGGATCCAGAGCTTAATCTAACATTTGAAGAATGAATCAGGTTTACAAGGTTGGGATCGCATCACACGGGGAGAATCCAGCCATGGTCACGTTGTCTATTGAGAAGAAATGTTTGATTGTTCATCTCGTCGAAACTATGCAGAATGGACCCATTCAAGGACGTTTTGCGGATTTTCTCGCTAACGATTCTATTGGTTTTGTCTCTTCGGGTCCACTAACGATGGGAGCTCTGGCCTTGCACGGATATTCAGATGCGTTGCAGCCTGACGATGTTGACGAGGAGGAACCGACCTTCGCGGACTTGGCCGAGTTAGTCGTGGGAAGCAGAATTGAGCTTGATCCGGTGGTGGCGGCCGGCGATTGGACCGTTTGGCCACTGACAAACGATCAGGTGCTCCTTACCTCTACGTAGGCATATGTTTCTTATCTCGCAGCCCTCATATAGCATATGTGAAGAAAGGTATTGAGCTCTTCTAGTCTCAACAAAACCTCTTCTCCTACTTACGATGTCTCTGTTTTTTCTATACATGCTTTAAACACATTGTCCCACTTTAGGAGTCTTCATGCTTTATTAAATAGTTTTTGGATTTTCTCAATGCTTTATCTGAGTCTAGAACAAAACATTATAAAGGCCTTGTTTCATGTTTAAGGTTTGAGTTGTGTTTGTAAAATCAGTGCAACTTTCTAAGGCATGTACTTGTTCATCTGGTCTTCCCACTACAAAAAAACAGACATTTAGCGTCAGCGTAATTCGACGCTAAAAGCCCTTAGCGTCGAATTAGCGTCGAAAATGATTTTGACGCTAAACCCTCGACGCTAAT